AAAGGTACAAATTGCATGGTAAGCAGCTATGAGCTAACCAGCATAGCAAATCCACAGTTCAGGTGCATCGGTGCATGCATGAAGAATGTTGACTTAGAGGGAGTAGTTAATGACAACAACATATGGTTCTCATGAAGGGAGTTTATGAACCATAAATCATGAAGAATTCATATGCACACTACCTCTTGACTCTGTTTCGCTTTTACCAGTATCTGATCCTGTTTCTGCACACATTAAATTGAAATCAATGGTTAGCAACTTAATGCTATACAGATAAAAATCAAAGTTGCTTGAGTACCCAAGTCTTAACTTAGCCTCAACAATATAATTTGTTTCCATAAGCCGAGGGCCAAATTTGATTTATTTTAGCAGTGTTGATGCTCAAAAGGTAATGATCAAGTTTGATCTATTATCTTTAACAATACAAAGTTCTACACAAGTCGAAGCTGAATGAAAACAGAACACCAACCCGAAGGAAAAAATTATAGAATGAAAAGAAGCATATGATCGGGACAAATAAAGTAATAAAGTGCTTGTTGGAAGTAATGATGTGTTGAAACAAAATTTTGGGTAAGTCACTCCTTCAAGAGCCCATTTTAGGGAAATGCTAACTGGAAAGTCCATTATATTTTATATACGAGTCTGTTTTCTAATTGGACTTCAATAGAAATGTTCCTGGCTAAGACAAGCAGGCGCTGCTGAGTAAGGGTGTTAAGCGGACAATAGTTTGTTGGCTCATGCATAAGCAGAGGATGAGAAAGGACTTACATTTACAGTCTTGAAACTGCGTTTTCCCTCAGTTTTCTCAGCAGAATTTAACTCGCCAGACAAATTAGGCTGTTAAACAATAAATAGACAATCAGAGGACTCAAGGTGACCAATTAACCATCAATCCTAAAAATAATATATCACCATAAAAAAATTAGTAACGGCATAAGCACATTTGGGCACATAGTTTATTTGTGTTGTCGTGACTGAAACGAACTGCATATTTATGAGGAAACAGGAAAACTGACCACAAAAGATCGCAGCACGTCAAATGTACTCTCAGCGCTAGATACAGTCTCCACATGTCGAACAAGAATCTTCTTAGTTTTCAATTCATCCGCTACGACATGTCACACAAACCCACAATTATCAAACCGCGTTAGCAAGTTAAGCTTCAGAACATAAACCCATCGTCAAACACCCACTTTTGTATGTATATACATAAAACCAACAAAGTCATGATTTAGAGTTGGGTGTTCATATGTGTAGCTCAATACAGCAAAAACAACAGGATAATTATGTTATGTTTATTAGGATTTTATGATTTTTAAGAAGTCTGAAGATGTTAATTGACTCTTCTCACCAAACTTACACACATAAAACAATATAATATAACTTCCACATACATTTTCACTGCAAAATACACTACTCTTATGGCTTTAGCTCATATGCTCACGAGTCACTCCCTTTGAATCAAAACATTAACAAGAACACAATGCTTATCTAGCGCACCCTAAAATTAAAAAATCACGTACCTTTACTCGAAGAATCATCTGATATTGATAGATTACCGAAGTCGAGCAAAGGCCGTTTTAACGGCCTCTCGTGAATCTCCAGCCCTGAGAAGGAGAACAAAAAAAAAAAAAAAGGTGTAAAAACGTCGCCGCTCAGCATCCAAGAACAGGCTTAAGAATTTGCAGTGCAGTGACTAAAACACTTCGAAAACAAACACCAATACTTACAAAAAGCATCGAGGGCCGATTGAAAAGCTTTCCGTTTAACCCTAACAATTACTGGCTTGTCGGAGCTCGGCGGACACGAAGAACTCTCCGCCATTGATGGTGGAAAGAAGCACAATTAGGGTAAGCCCTCACGAGCTTCAGTATTTTGAAAATGGTCCTTTTGATTCTTACGTTGTGTGTAGAATGTAAGTACTGTGCGTTCTGGGTAAGCTAAACATTTTATATTGTGAAAAAAAAAAAAAAAATTACATTTTTTTTTTTTGTATAGTGAAAAAAATCAGATATTAGATTTTTTTGTAAAATTATTAAATTCAAAAAATTGATATTCAAGTATAATCATTTAAATATTTTAATTTAGATGTCTTAATATGATTATTGAACAATAAAATTCAAAATCTAATTTAATTTATGCCATCAAAATACAAATATGTGAGTTATTAATTTAATTTAAAGCATTTTGTTCAAAATTATCATATCAAAATTGTTTATTTTCAATTGTGGTTTATTTTCCTATAAAGGAGATGCTACGGTCCCGTTACGAAACCATTCTATCAAGATATGTAACCGTTAAATCAATTATCTCTAACGATTATATGATGATTTAGCGGTTATAAACTCCGACGGAATAGTTCCGTAACTGGACCCGTAACATTTCTCAATAATATTATATCGCTATATTGTTTCTGTCTCCCTCTTATATCAAAGGGATGACCCTTGCATGTATCAAATAATGGGGCTACTTTTTTTTTTGGGGGAATTTGTAAATGAAATCACTACGACCTATATTAACTGAAAAACGAGAATTCTAACTAATGAATCATATGATGGTACATTATTTTATTTTTTTTACTGAAAATAGAAATTCATTCTCTTTATGAATCTTGTGAGTAGATGATAATATGTGTGGTTGATAAGCACAAATGCACAATAAGTGAATAAACTACCTTTTTGGTTGGTTGTGTTTCACCCTAAATGTAATATAACATCAAAATGTTCCACAACAAATGTACAAGAACTAAATTTAATATAACATCAAATGCTCCGTAAGGCGTAAGCTTGTGCCACATACAAACACAAGTTACAGACCGGGTCTCGATGTACAAGAACTAAAATATCACGATAAATTAAAATTGTTCGACCCAAAACTTTCTAAAGAGATAACGATGCCCACTTACGATCCCAAAAACCCATGAGAATCTTCTTTGATGCTTTCGAGTTCTGGATATGGGCTTGAAGCCATTAAATTACTCTGAGGTTCCGACTTGTGGCTTTTTCGATACACCTGTTAAAGCAAGCAGATGAGCTCAATGAACCGAAAGAAACTTATCATTTGATATTTACGCATAGCATGAGTTTTTACACATAAAAACAATGAATGCTGAAATCTTACTAGATCAGGATTGGTGCATGTTACTGATTGCAGCAGTGATGCTTTTACAATCAAGTTCCATTGTCTTCATCCAGTTCTCGAAGTCTCCAATTTCCTGCTGACAGATGATCATTAATCTCTCTTAAGAAAATCATCTCGAGTTAATAAATTAAGTTATTGTGAAAAAAAATACGACGTGTCGACACATAACCTACATTAGGCTGTTTCTGTTTGTGTGTGTGTTCTCTAAAGCAAAGAAGATGTTCGTTTTTAAGGGAAACGGTCGCCACAAATTACTCGATTTTTCCATTATTTTAGTGGCTGTTTAAAGATTAGCCCATCTACAAGTTAGATACTCTGGAAAGCATCATTTCACCCTTAAACAGTAAACATTATATATCAGACATGAATTTCTAGCTGCAATGGCTCACAATTCTTCAATTGCCGAGCCCCAAAATTTAAAAAAGTCCGGAGAATCTCGATTTATGTGGCTCAGAGTTTCTTGTTCACAGATCACCCAAGAATGTGAACCTTAGGTCTACAAAGTTACAGAAGCTCGACTTTTCATTTCATTCTTTTCTGTCATGCTCGATGCATCCACTTCAAACACTAGGAGCATACTATATGCCCTTTTCCGATAATTTTTACAGTCTACAGAATTTTCCAGATCACATGAAAACTTCATATGGCTCCTTAACTAAGCATGAAAAATCTCAGTTTATTTTAGATATCCTACACACCATTTTGTGAAAGGACACATACCAATAGGAATAATCGTAAATTTGACAAACAAATCATAAACAAATGCACACCAACATATACAAATTTCGAAAGAACATCTTACCGATCCATCATGGCCGTTGAGCAAGAATAAATTTGCAGAAAAAGGAAATACAGACAAAGTTGGAATTTTTGAAAGTTTGAAACGAATAACTCAATGAGTAATGGTAGCCCGAAGAGCGAATTTTATAGTTTTAATGAAGAGAATTTCATCTCCATATTGAAGCTAAAAGCTTCATCAACCAAGATACACAATGCGCGAAACTTCGCCTCATAACAAAATACAACCGATAATCGAAGCAGGCGGATTACGAACCTTGACGGCATTGTTAATGGCGTGAGAAGCTGCAAGCCACCGTTCGGTCTGCTTCGAGAACCGCGCGATGGTCGCCGCCAGTGCTCGGGTTTCCATTTCAATCCGCTTCTCGTTCACGAAGATCTCCTGCACTCCGCCGTTAACCGCGTTCACCAGTAGATCCGACACCCGCGCCGCCTTCCGAACAGCATCTCTTTTAGCTCTCTCTAATTTCATGAACCCCAAAAAACAGGGCGGAAAATCAACAGGAAAAAATCAAACACCGAATCTCGAGCTCCAGATTTCATCACAAACACCCATAATTCGAAGAACGGGGACGGAAAAGCACGAAATCGATAACCCTAGAAATTCCCAAACAACAGACCAACGACAAATGAAAGAAGCACAAAATTTCAGTCTAGGTAAAAACTGACCGGCGTGTTCTCGGAGCTCAACGGAGGCACGATTGTGATCGTCGACCATTTGAAGCAGAGAAGCTTCTAGACTTCCATCTTCCACCATGCGAGGTCGCTCCATTTTATGGATCCATGATTAATCTCCGGCGAAGAAAAGCAGCCTTGATTTTGACGGTGCGGTGTTGGTGTGGAAGTGCAGTCGACCGGCCGGTTTGAAAAATGCTAATGGGCCGGTTTGGTGAAATGGCATAAACTATTCCAATGGGCTGGTAAGGCGAAGTCGATGGACATGTCCACTAAAAAGACCCAGAACTGAAGATGGGCCTGGTAACATGATAGTTCATAACAGGACCCGCCCGTGTGGTGGGGCGGAGCAACTCGTGCAGTAAATTCTCTTTATTGAAGTTTTGTTTTGTATTTTCATTTTATAGTTAAAAATTGTCAATGTTATAAACTTTGTCCGTGCTAGATATGTTGTCAAGTGTACAAAATTATATAATCGTATGTATCATATAGGTGAAAATTATATAACATACCCTTAGAAATTAAAATATCCACGGGTCGAGCTCGGGTACGAAAAAGAGATATTCAAAATGCCGATGTTGCCACTTAACAAACGACCAACTACCTTACATTTTGTTCGTCGAACGCCTAGACACGTTATTCGTTCCGCCAAAAAATAAATAAATAAATAAATAAAGATCCTTCATGTACCTTTTTACCAAAAAAAAAAAAATTGTGATAAAAGTGTAATTTTTGAAAATATAGTGCTACGTGATGCAATTTTATAGAAAAATATTGACAAAACAATTTGTTTTAAGAAAAATGTTTGTGTTTACTCCAAAAGTTCTATAGAAAGCACATATCTATAAATTCAAAATTTTGTTGAAAATACATAAAACTTGAAATAATTATACTTTATTTTATGCTGAAAAGTCAACTTATTTTAAACAAAGGCAAGGTTTTCAAATTGACAAAATGTTTAAGACAACCTTGTCCACATAAACATCACAACTCACAATCCATTGTCATAAAACACTAATGGGGTGAAAAAAAAAAATACTAATGGGTGATTGTTTATGGTTCGAACTAGTTTTTATTTGGTTTATTTTTTACTTAAAGTTAATTTTGAAAAAAAAAATGGTATGATTTGTTATCAGTGGATATATTAAAATAATATTCAAATGAAATTATTGAAGTTGATTTGATGTAAAGTAGGAGATAAATGATTGGAAACAATGATTAGTTAAAATTATATGAGTGGATGAATAATGAATTAGTTATGTGTAGAATTGATTGATTAATATTATTTAATTATATTGATAATATGAGAAATAGTGGAATTGGGTTGAAGTTGAGTTAAATTTAAGTTTTGATTGTTTTTTTAGTGTACAAACATAAACAATCGCCCCCTAAGGTTGTGTTTGTAAAAAAATAAAATTTACTTAAATTAACTCAAGTGAGTTTTTTTTAGTTAACTAGAGTTAATTTTTTTTTTTTAAAAAAAAATGGTGTAGTTAGTGAGATTTTGAGTTTGTAATAAAATAATATTTAAAATAAAACAATTAAAGTTGATTTGATGTAAAAGTATGATAGAGATGATATGAAGTGATTGTTAATTAAAATTATGTGAGTTGATGAATAGTGAATTAAAGTTGATATGATGTGTAAAAATAAGTGGTTATTATTACGTGATTATATGGATAATATTGAAGATAATGAGGTTGAGTTAAAGTTGAGTTAGCTTTTTTAGTATGAATTAACTTGGATTAAGTATTTATTTATTTTTATTTTTTTATTTTTTTACAAACATAGCCTAAATAATCTTCAATATTTAATATAATTCTAATTACCATGTTATTATTGGAAAGTAGATTTTTGCATGACTTGGCCTACTTATATTATAAAATGCTTTTAGTATAACATTTTAATTTAAAATACAGATTGAATAAATATGACTTTATAATTATTAATTAGAAAAGCGTGTAACCCAAAGTTTGACTTTGTAGTATTTTGACTTTTGAAATGGTTAAGGTAAATATATAGGTATTACTATATAGTAATGTGATTTACTTTACAGACACAATTAAATTAAATTGACTGGTCCGTGATTTTGACATTGAAGTCGTTCTGTCCCACGTGAGAACAGCACGTGCGAGTAGCTGACTCATTAATGAAGTCCAAGTAATTATTAGTATTAATTACTTAATTAATTAGACTTATCATAAGCCTAATTAATTACATTGGGCACCACAAACACCATGCATTTTGTCTCCTCTTTTTTAGTTGTTTTTAATTAATAATAATAATAATAATAATAATAATATCAATTTCAGCTCCCTTAATTAAAGTGACACAGATTAATATGTTTACAGTCTTTAATTTACTGCTCAGTCAAAGCTTTTGCCACACCCGTGCAACCTAGGGAAGTGTTTGGACAACTTGTCCTTCACATAATTTTTAAATAAAAATACACATTTATGTTAAAAAATTTATACTACTTGTCAATATATATATTTTATTTTATAGTAGTTGTTTAAAATATGAAATTATGTGTTCTTGTTCAAAATAATATATGTATCCGACGATTAAGTTTGCCTCTAATAAACTGTTGGAAAAACGGCGGTTTGAAAAATAATCAATAAATTCTATATAAATTCTAATGGAAAACTAATTCAAACGAAATATTTTCGTTGAATTTTCGGTGAATTATTCCAACACAAGCTATATTATTGAAATATTACTCAGAATTTCAACTAAAATATATTACCAATGAGTTTTCTATTGGAATATGATGATTTTTTTTTTTAGTGACGAAAATCTACATGGAACATTCTAAATATAGTTGATTACCACAACTTAGCTTCGTTAAGCCAAAACACATTCTATAATTCAGATGTAAAGAAAACGTTTATAGTAGCATAAAGCTCCGTGCATTTGTTCTACAATATTCAAGGACAGTGCTTATCCCACATTGGCAAAAGTAGTACATGAATCCTATATAAATGTAGTAAAATTTCATTTATTGTACAATATGCACTGGCAGGTCCAACCAGACGATTTTCAACCGGTCATTGACCGGTTCATCTGCAACGGATTTATTCCAACAAACCGAACCGGTCCATTGACCGGTTCCCGGTTCAACCGGTCGGACCGGCCGGTCCGATTTTCTAAACCATAAAAAATACTCTAAAATAAATTCAGATATCCAATAATAATATTTAAAATATAATATAAACAAAAATTATAATTTGAAATATAATATAAACAAAAATATGACCATTTTATAGTCGTATAAATATTTATTATTCTTTTTGGTAAAAAAAAAAAAAACTTTGGCATTATAAAACTAACAACATCAACCCAATTATAATAACATGGCTAAAAACTGAAAGTCTCCACGCTGTAGTTAATTAATTCCAGTTCATTATATTTCAAAGAAAATTGTTCCACAGCAAGCATGAAAATGAAGGAGAACAAGAATTTTTTTTAGCAAAAAAAATAAAAAAAATACATAAAGTACATCAAACTACTATATATCATCGATCGATAGAACTTTTCTTTAATATTAATCGGAATACATCGATCGATCGAACTTTTTTAATAATATTAATCAAAATACGGTAAATGCACGTTATTATTCGAGATGCCGCCGCCTCCAAAGCCAGGCGTGGGCCCCACCGGAGCCGGTTGAGAAGGCGTCGGAGTAGGCGGAGCCTGGGGCAGCTCGGCGGCAAGGATTGTGGTGGCAGCTTCGCGGTACTTGTACCTTAGAATCTCGGCCCTAACGGAGTTGAGCTCTGCTTGCAAGGCTTGTACCTGGTGCTGAAGAGCAGAAATTGCACCCATGCAACCGTAGATTGGGTCCCTAAGCCTCACATTGGCTTCGTACACCAAACTATTGGCTGCGTCGGCTCTTTGGAACTCCGGGACCTCCTGTCAATATTTAATTTATAAAAAAGTTAATTAATTATTATATACTACTATTTTTTACGTGTGTAATATTTAGATATGTGTGATTAATGGGTTAATATATATGTTAGAATCTTAATTTCTAGTTTAACTCAAGAAAAGAAGATCAAACCATTTAACTTCATCAAGAGTTGAAAATCTAGTATATTTACTTTTAATTAATATTGGACTTCATTTTTATGAGTTTAAATTACATTCATATAACTTCAAATCCATGGATCGAGTGCATAACCCTAGTTTTCATAATTTTCTTGTTTTCCTATTTTTTTTCTTCTCCATATAGATTGTAGTATATCATAGCTAGCTACAAACACACAAACATTTCAAGAAAAAAAAATAAATAAATAAATAAAAAGGATGAAATCAATGAAGCTAACTAGCTAGCTAGCTAGCTAGGTGTTCACTATGATGTAATTAATTAATTAATTAATTACCATGAGCATCTTGGAAACATTGCTAGCACCAAAGACTTTGTGAACGGCGGCGAACTTTTGGGGCTCGTGCGGAGAGAAGTAAGGCGAGAAAGGGCATTCTTCGGCACATCGTCGCCTCAAGAGCTTACAAGCGGCGCAAGGCGTGACCGTGTTTAGATTCCCGGCCGGTGGGCCCAACATGTGTCGTCGGCCCATGTTGTTAACGTTGCTCACCTTGTTCTTGTTGCAACCATCGATCTCCGTCTTCAGCTTCTTTCCGATCTCTTCCAACTCGTCTCTATACGAATAATAATCAATTTACATTAGTCATCACAAGA